GATAAGAGCTGCTTTTGACGATTTCCCATGAAAACGTGTGTAAAATTCACAAAATTTGTTTCATCAATTTCTCATTTCATAAGCACCCAGAGTTGAAACTCTGCATACATTTTTTTTATTCATTCTTGAAGCTCTGTAAAAATTTTCGTTGAAAACTGACTTTCAATTGCTTAAGTTAGTCAACCTCTTTCAGTATAATACTTATTTCTCTGTTTCTAAAGTACATTACTTAGTCCCCCAAGGGTACCTCGATCCAGTAGTTAATATTCTTCGTGTCGATGTTATTTAAATATGCTGTAAAAATTGTTTATCCAGCTTAGAAAAGAGGTAGGTGTTGAAACTATGAACGGAAATACATATTTAATGATACGACCCTAAAAGCTGTCATTGCATCATCCATTTTATTACCCAAAATAAACAAACAATAAGTGCACTTTTTAATTAGGAATCAACTTTTACGTTTGTTTAATTCCACGAATAATTTAATAACATCAAAAGAATAAGTCTTTACTGCGAAATAGTCAGAGTTTTATTCATACTAGAAATTCACTAGATTCTGGGAGAGTCACATAATAAGGACGGTAAGAGCTAGCGTACGATCTTAACTACTCACTATCAAGTCTTTGCTGAGACTGCCATACTCTATGACGCAAGCTTGCCGGCTTACTTTCCTCTTTTGAGCCACCTAATTCATTGTAATTGCGTGATATCTAATTACATGCATGAGTAATTTTATGCGTATACAATAATTGTAAACTGTCAATAGGAAAAAATATTAGGCGGAAGAAAATTTGGATTGAAACCAAGGTGTGAAGTCTCAGAACCACCAAAAAAACAAAGCTACTTCTTAGTTCACCAATAATCTCGTGTATCATACTACTTAATGCCATGATTATAAATATAACCAGCAGCGCACAACTCAGACGCATTATCACTAACCCTGTTTTTACGCTTTTTGCCACTATCATAAATGTAATATAAATTATTAATTATAGGCAACTACTATTGCATATCGAGTATTAGAATTTGACAGTGGCTATATTTTCAAATAATATTATAGTTTGAACTATCTGAATCAGCACTTAACTAATTGTATGGCTTTTCAATTGAAGTTTTTTTGATAATCTTCTGAGACATAAGCGTTTATATCTATTGTTATATAGGTAATCTTGTCATAAAATTATTATGAAACATTCTTTGCATGTTTATATTGATATCCTAAGCGAGTTATAATTTTAACCTCTTGTCTATAAAGAATATAGCCAAAATAAAATAAAATTTTAAGGTTATCATAGCATATCAATTAATCTATTTTTATTTGTGGACCTCAATGTATTTTTTTTTTATCTCAACCTATAATAATTTTTGTTTTTTTTGGTTTTTTTTTAACAACTTTTTAGCATTATCTTTGAGTTACACTGCAGTTATATGTTATGCGCAATTACATTCATAAATCTTGCAGACAAAACAATAATAAAATTTACTGTAAATGAAAGATAATACAAATTATGAATTAAGTGCCTACTCAGATTCGCTGAGAGAGAGAAAGAGAGAGAGAGAGAGAGATATTGATTGATGTATTGTAAGTGGTCCACAGGAAAGATGTCCTATCTGGCCAATTACATACTTACAGATAAGTAAGGAGTTGCAGAATGAATTATAAAATATGTGTAAATACAATATGTGAGTTTTTGTAGTCACTTGGTTTTCTCTATACCTACGGTGAGCAGCCAAGCAGCATCAAAAGTAAAGAGTTAACGAAAGTAAGTGGGTAGTTGCGCTGCATTAACTAATGCGTGCTCGGTCTGATTGAAGGGCACATTTATGCCAGTCTTCCCGGTCGAAATAGTTCATTGAGCACAAGTTCCTAGTATTCGTTTAGTTTAGCAGTCAAGAATGCTGGTTTTGGGAGACTATTGAGAAGAAGAGACGATGTAATGTTAAAGGAGTTTTTCAGGACTTGAGTACGATAGTTTTGGATGTAGAAAATTTCTTTGGGTCATCTGGAAGATTTGCGACGGTCAATGTTAGAGGGCCAAATAAAAGATTGGCAAAGGTTTTAGGGTTACGTTGAGCGATAATGCCATATAATCGTGAGGAAACTGAATATTAATGTCTAAGTTTGTGGGTGAGACATTAGAGTTCAAAGCGTCGTCGCGTGACGTAAGCATCAAAGGGTATGTTGTCAAAAACATATCTGACACATGCGTTGAGGAGCCAGTGTAGTCAGAGTTCGCACTTGAAGTTGGAGCAAGTTGAGCATGGCCACTGAGATACCATACAGTCCAGCTGATTTCGATCTGTCAGTGAAGACAAGCAATCATTTAGTTCCTCCAAAGAGAGAGAGAGAGAGAGAGAGAGAGAGAGAGAGAGAGAGAGAGAGAGAGAGAGACAGATAGAGCGTAATACAGCAAACACTCGATGCGAAATCGTACCTCGGATGTAACAGGGTCCTTATTAAAGTCACACAACAGCCACGTTATGATTTCCGTACATAAGCAGATATATCCATACATATTTCTTCCTGTACTGTATAGTTGCACTGTGTGGGGCAGTCAGTTTCCTTCCATATGCTCCCCCACGAACCCCCATGTATCCCCAACCAAATGTATGCCACTCCCCCAGCAAATACCCACTTGGTATTTTTGAAAGAGCAATAAAAAAAATGAGTAAAATATTTCTATATTACATAGTTATGTTGTATGGGGTGGTCAGTTTTCTCCCCCACGATTTCTCACACTACTCTACGAGTTCTTAGTTGCTTTCCCACAAAACAAAAGGAAGTTCTTCTCTCCTACCTTCCGTCCCTTAACCACCAAAAAATTTATTCCATTCCTCTACTACGTTTCCCGCATCATGATTTTGAAAGAGCAATACAAAAATATGTTGGGTGAAACTAACACATTTAATATAAATTACTATACGTAGAAAAATTTTAAACTACCCAAGAAGTACTACTTTTTGCCTTTAGGTTATTTGGATTTTGAAATTCATTAAACATTTCTCGTACGTTTACGAAATTCATAAATTAATCTGAATAATTAGGATTTACATTTTTAAATTGTCCACGAAGTATAACTGATTTATAGATTTACAATAAAAGTGAACTTTATGTTACTCTGATAATATTAAAAAATATCATATTTTTATTTTATGTGACACCAGCAATAAATTCTTTCTATTGGTACCACCGTAACATGAGAGAATAATTGTTCGATAATGTTCGTACCTCACTGTTTCACTGACCCAATACCTTTCATGCAATGAATATTATCACATTGTTTTAAATGACTTTTTAACCTAATTCCTTTACCTTTATAACTTTCTCTCTTTTATTATCTCACCCAGTCTCTCTTTCTTTATATCTGGTACAACTATTCTACTAATTAGAGGCATTAAAAACAATCTTTTAAAGGCAAAAGATAAAATATAACTTGTATCGTTTAAGTGCAATGATGAATGTAGTAGTGTGCAACGGCCAGTGATTATTTTGTCTTTCGTTAGTTTTTATTACTGTTGGATTTGGAGTCAATATTTTTAAAACAACATAGTTCGTTTGCAATAGTAGCACAATTAACTTTATTTATCTGCTATAATCACGAGAATGTATGTTTATATGTATTTTCTCTTTTTGTTAAAGTTATAAAAATTGGACAGTAAAAAGATAAAAATAATAAACAAGCTTAATTATTTTCATTCCGTAAAATTTCGTTGTTTACAGTAAAGACCTCTTCCTGCACTCATAACAAGTACCTAATGTTAACAAAAAAATATTATTCGTATTAAATTTTGAATACTTATTTTGCTTTCTATTTTTTCTTGAAAATGATGACAAGTGTATTAATTTTATCATTTATATATCATCCGCAACTCTCACTTGAAAAATTGTTAAAATCAGAATAAGTACCTAAGATGTATGACAACCACTAACTTAGTTTTTGAAAAGATGAGTCAATTTTTTTTTAGATAATGTCTGGATTTGCAGGAATTTTTTTTAAAGGAAGCCAATACTTTATCTGTTCATTGGTAAAGTCATAAGGTTTAAAAAGATTAGTACAGTTAAATAAATAGTCAATGAAAGGGATTCTTTTATCAAACCTGACAATTGCCAAGATGAACTGGAGATCATGGCTAAGCCTAATAAATAATTAGCCAGTAGAATTAATCATCGAGTAGTTTAAGAGTAACTTTAGAAAATAACCTTTACAGAAAACTTGCATACTATAGAAAAGAGGAGGGAAATTTCAGATGAAAGGAACACTATAGTACGGAATTTTAGATGGGTCAAAACCTTGATATTAGTTTACGAGTAATCTATTTCAATAGAATAGTATTGTATCGCTTGCATGTAGTAGAAAGTATCTAAATTTATTGTTTGGACAATCTTAGCGGCGTAATACCATTAAAGAATTAAACAAAGAGACATATAAGATATTTTGACTTTAAAAGTACTGACTTTCTGCAGAAATGTATAGATACATTAAACAAAGATAAGAAAAACCATTTACAGATACGTGAGCAGTGAAATAAAAATCACTTAACCAAACCTAAATTAGAGTTCTTGGATTTATAATTAACACATTTTATTCACACTACATTGTACTGTTGACAGCAGAAAGAATTTTTTTTCAGAATCAACATTTCTTCAGTTAATCAGACATAGGTTATCATAAATCACTGAGTATGAGTGTAGTCAGTAGTTCCGAATCCTTTTTTTTTAAAGCTTAAAAAAACTTATTTTATTCTATTTGGCGGTACAAGATTTAGGCATTTACTCATCAGTGACTTATCTATACTTCAAAAATTGTGTTTTTTAACATATATTAATTTTAATTTCTAAATGCTATACCAGGGTGACAATGTATGTGCTCATAAAACACATAACATTTTTTATGCTAAAGGGACTACAAAATTTGTAGCAGAAATGTTAAAAAAAAGAAAGTTGAATAATAATGAACTGAGTACATAAACATCATAAATAACATAGCTTTTTATTCAGGTTACTTTACCTGCATCAGCACAGCTGGTCCAAGATACTTATCACTATTCCACCAATATGAAGGACACGAGGTACTACAGCATGCACATAATATGCATTCATATAAGCCATCCTGAAACAATTTGCTAAAATTATTAAAAATACTAAATTAATTTTTAAATCAAAAGAAACTTTTTAAGTAACAGGGAACTTGATAGTTAAGGTTACAAGAGACTAAATGATTATATAAGTCTATAACATGCTAAGAAAAATAAAATTTGAGAAATAGGGCAATCTTTTATAAACCTAACATCTCTTGACCGGTACATTTTTTATTTACTTAAAAATGCTTTTAAGTTTGATACAAAAAGAAAAAAGGTAAGCATTCGAACATTTTTAATTTTTCTCATTTTTTTGAAAAAAAATGGTTAGAAATTTACAAATTCGGCTAAGAATTTTTTTTTTTTTTTTTTTAATTTTTACTCCCGTTTTTTCAGGGGTTTTTTAAATTTACAGGTCAAAAATTGAGCTTTAACGAAAAAAAAAAAAAAAAAACCAGTAAACAAATTTTAATTGTTGTAAACAAATCAAATAGATGAATTAATGTTTAACAACTGTCCCACCTTCGTAATAAGTTTCAAAATTTTTATCACACATTGCATCGGAATGCTTTTTAAATCGATAGAGAAATAATAATCATTACTGTAAAAAGATATTTAATTTATCTATAATAGCAGTGTTCCTTCACATATGTGGGAATCAGATTGCGCGTTAGATTTTCCCATCTCATATCGTTCTCCTCTATGATGAATGATCATTTCACATATTAAATTGAATAATCTTATTTATTTGAAAGGAAAACTTCACACAAAATTAAAATTAGAAACAAGTTTCAAAAAAGGAATAAAAACTATTGTTAAAGTGTGAATTACTCAATAGAAATTTCAACACCTACTTACTAGTTGAGAATACGTCCTTGAGTACTGTGCTAAACAATATCAATATACAATCGCAAAATATTTTCACCCTATATTCAAGAATTTTTATAAAATTTTTTTTTATGAAAGAAAAACTCCTTTCCATATAATTCTTCCGGAAACACTAAATTAATAGGACGTCAGCGCAACATATTCTTTAGGCCTCAGGTTGCACTTAACAGCCCGATATCTGCAACGAGTGCATAATCGCAGAGCAAGCAAACAGTGAGAAATTGGTAGCGAAGTATCCCCTCTTATTTTATCGTGGTTCATCGCCACCCTTGCTGCCTCGAGCAAGGACACACAACTGCCTTTAAACAAATGGATCGAGGTTCTTAGCCGTTTCGGAGCAGCCTACAGACTACAACTTCTGTCCCCAACAGTAGTGAACACTATAGAGTTTGAAAGTTTAGCCCAGTGGCAGAGCCCCTGGTATTACAATAATTAATAATAATA